AGTCCCAGTTCAAGAGGGTCTGCCATCTTGGTGATGACCAGGCACAACATTTTTAAAAATTTATGCAGGGGATTATTTGTGCATGTTTGTGTCTGTGTGTGTGTGTGTGTGTGTGTGTCTGTGTGCATGCGTGCGTGTGCACCGGGGATCGAACTCAGATGCTTTACCACTGAGCCACATCCCCAGCCCTTTCCATTTTTATTTATTTTTTTGCTCAGTTGCCGAGGCTGGCCTTGAACTTGCAATCCTCCTACCTAAGGCTCCCAAATCACTGGGATTAAAGGTTGTACCAGCATTCCTGGTTCCTTTGATGAATATCACCCACCATGAAAATGGGCTTTGCTCTCCTCCTCTTTCACTTGCTCATCTGATACAGAAGCCAGAAGACAAACTTCCAAGGGAATCACACTAGCTGTGCTCCTAACTGGACGGATGACCTTGGACCAGTCAGTTCACCTCCTTGAGCATCAGGAAGTGACCAAGATAACTCTTACTGCATCAGAAAGTGACAGTAAACAAGCAAATTAAGACACAGAAGGTACTAAACATAGTGCCTGGTAAGGGATAAGCCCTCAGTAAATACTCTAAGTAAATACACTAAGTTGCTTAAGGACTTGCTAAATTGCTGAGGCTGGTCTCGAATTTGTGATCCTTCTGCAACAGCCTCCCGGGTTGCCAGGATTACAGGTGTGCACCACCGCACCCAACTCTACGGGGAATTTTTGACAAGAGCCTTTGAACCACCCACGATATTTTGGGGGATCATAATGAAAAGGAAGGAACCTAATAGATGCTGGGGACCTTTAAATTTGTACCTTAATCTAATGCTCATGATGACTCTTTAAAGGAAGTTCTACCACGCCTATTTTCCAAGAAATCAATGAACTTGCCCCTCATGTCATAACTGATGAGAGGTGGAACCAGGATTTAGATTCACATTATTCCTGAACCTAAAGCTCCTATTTTTCACTCCACATGGACCTTTAAGCCTATCTGAATTCGCAGAAAAGAAAGGTCTCTGCTTCTAAAGGAAACTCTCCTAAAGGGCTTCAGGGGAGAGACAGGCTCTGACACAGGCCTTAGGACAGAGACTAATTGAAGATGCTAAACAGGAAAGCAAGGATAATATAGGAGGAAGGGGAAGAATTATAGTAAGTCCAGATGTGAGAAATACAATGTGGGTCAGGCCTTGCTGTGCATAGCCAGGGAACAGTGGGGGACACGCTACTGGGTTGTTTTGTTTTGTTTTTTTGTATCAGGGATTGAACCCAAGGGCACCGAGCCACTGAGCCACATCCCCAGCCCTTTTCATTTTAAATTCTGAGACAGGGTCTCACTAGGTAGCTTACAGCTTCACTAAGTTGCTGAAGCTGGCTTCAAACCTGCCATCCTCCTGCCTCAGCCCCCCGGAGCCACTGGGATTACAGGCGTGAGCCACCGCCCGGCACTACGGGGCCTTTGAACGGCAGCCTAAGGAGTTTGAACTTCATCATATAGATGGAAAGAGTAATCGGAACAATTTAAGGTCAGAAACTTGACAGACAGCATTTTCAGAAAGATGACTTTGACAGGTTAGGCAAGATGGCTTGGGGAAGTGGTTCTTCACTTTGGCAACTCCTGAGAATTACCTGGAAGGCTTCTTTTTTAACACTTCATTTTGAAATGATTTCAGCCTTTCAAAAATGTTTCGAAAAAATAGAGTCCTCATAGACTACCCTTCACTCAGCTTCCCCAGATATTAATGTTTTCCATAGCCACAACACCGTCATCAAAATCAATACCTTATCACTGATACCATACAGGGCACTAACCCACAGAGCTTATTCAAACTCCGTCTACCCTCCTTCCCACTCAGGTGTTCATCCCTGGATGAGGATTCCAACCTAGGATCACACATTGAGTTCAACTGTTTTGTCTTCTAAGTCTTCTTTAATCTGGGGAAATGCCTCAGAATTTCTTCTGTCTTCATGATCTTAACATTTATTTTATTTATTTATTTATTTATTTTTTGGTACCCAGGATTGAACCTGGGTACCAACAGGGTCCTTGGGACCTCACTGCTGAGGCTGGTTTTGAACTCGCAATCCTCCTGCCTCAGCCTCCTGAGCCGCTGGGATTATAGGTGTATACCCCCGCGCCCAACAGATTTTAACATTTATAAAGAGTACTGACCAGACCGGGTGCAGTGGCGCATCCCTGTAATCCCAGCAGCTCGGGAGGCTGAGGCAGAAGGATCAAGAGTTCAAAGTCAATCTCAGCAATGGTGAGGCACTAAGCAACTCAGTAAGACCCTGTCTCTAAATAAATGCAAAGTAGGGCTGGGGATGCGACTTAGTGACCAAGTGCCCCTAAATTCAATCCCCAGTGCTAAAAGAAAAAAAAAAAGTACTGACCAGTTATTTTGTCAAATGACCCTAGATGAGGGCTTGCCTAATATTTCCTCATGATTAAATTCAGGTGAGGCACCTTGGACAGGAATACCACAGATGTGATGCCGTGCCTTCTCGGTCTACCATATCAGGAGGCCCATGACGTCACTCTCCCTCTCATTAGGTGTCATGTTAACTTGAGCACCTGGCTCAGCAGTTTCTACAATGTAAAGTGACTCTTTTACTTGAAAGCATTCTTAAACTACCAAGCCTAGGCCACACCAGAGATCAAACAAACCACATGGCCTCGGGGTCAGCCACAGGCATTGCCAGGTGCTAAAATGCCCCACAGGTGATTCTAACCAGCATTCAGGGTGGGAAACCCAGGGCGAAAATTAGAATCCTGGAAATCAGCAACCATGCCTTTTCTTGGGGCTTTCTTTTTCAAAGGGCATCCAGTTCCAGGCACAGATAAATATATGTGGACTTTGGCATGGACCCACAGTAGGAAAAAGGGAAGGCCCAAAATCCCCTGATTGGGAAAGTCACGGGAGAGCAGAGGGCTGTCCAATCAAAGAGGAGGCAGGAGGAGAGTCCACCGGCTCCGCCACTTCCCTTCTCCCCAGACCTCAGAGAAACCTTTGCTGTTCTCAAAGTACACACCATATAATTTTACTATCATAAGCCTGACGTGAGTGCCCAACTGCCACCAACAGGAAGGGAATCATATATCTTGATATAAACATCCAACCACACATGCAAAAGATGGACGTTTCCGGGTAGGGTGAAATGAGCAATCCACAGAATCCAGGTCAGCGGTACGTGACCCCCGGAAACAACCCGTCCCCTTCACTTGGTCTTTTGCCCTTAATCTCTTCTGAAGAGGGTATGGACCCTGTTGGAAATTGATGAAACAGGAAAGTGTGCACATCTCATGTCCTCAGGCTATTGAAGCAAGAAGCTAGGGGCCTCAACTTCCTCCGCCCCTCCTGTGGGGGCACCGTCTGATGACATGTCAAAAGAAACACCAATTTCACCCAAATTCACAGGGAGGAGAGCTATCCCTAAGGCGTCCACATGACTACCAGGCTCTGGCACTGCCTACTTCCGGAGGAACTGCTGCCAGGCTATAATTGGAAAAGAAGAAAAGAGAGCTCTTCCCACTCAGAGGGGTTTGGTTTTGTTGCTTGTGTTTGCTGCAGTACTGGAGATTGAACCCAGGGGTGCTTTACCACTGAGTCACATCCCCAGCCCTTTTCGTTTTTTTATTTTGAGACAGGGTCTTGCCAACTTATTTAGGGCCTCGAGAAGTTGCCCAGGCTAGCCTTGAACTTGTGATCCTCCTGCCTCAGCCTCCTGAGTAGCTGGGATCATAGGAGTTTGCCACAAAGCCCAGCCAGAAACTACTTAAAAAAAAAAAAGTTCATGGCACTTGAATACCATGTGTGAGGCCCTAAGTTCCACCTCCAGTACAATAATAATAAGAAGAATAAGAATAATTAACTTAATTATCCCTCAATTATTACACAGCCAATATCCTTCAAGTGAGGACATTGGGAGACTCTCCTATGGGGTCTCATTGATAGAGACTGACACATAATTAAATGCTAATACATGAGTGAAATAATTCATGTCAAGTGGGATCCACTGGGTCAGGAATGGCTCCCAAAGGTTTCATGAAAGAGGCCGGATTCAGGTTACGCCTTCCAATGGTTAAGCCTTAGAAAAGCAGAGACCAGAAGAGACATAAGCAAAGGAAACCAGGTGTCAGGCACGTTGTGGATGCTGGTTCTGAAGGGAATCTCAGAAATGAGACTGGCGGGGGGGGGGGGGGGGGGGGGGCTGGGGTGTGGCTCAGTGGTAGAGCACTTGCCTAGCACACATGAGGCACTGGGTTCAATCCTCAGCACCACATGAAAAAATAAAAATAAATAAAATAAAGTTTAAAAAAATGAGAGTGGGGGGCTGCGGTTATGGCTGAGCGGTAGAGTGCTTGCCTAGCATGTGAGAGGCCCTGGGTTCAATCTTCAGCACCACATAAAAACAAATAAACAAAATAAAGGTATTATGTCCAACTACAACTAAAAAAATAAATAAATATTAAAAAAATGAGAGTGGGTTTGCATGTTATTTCATGTATTCGTTTCAACCTCCGTAGGGGGTTATTTCAGAAGAGGATGTTAATCCTCAGAAAGGTGAAGTAACTTGCACCATTAGTGGAAGATCTGGAATTTGAAACTAGGTATGTCTAACGCCAGAGTCCTTGCCATGGTCACCACCACTGAGGGGAAAATGAACACAATGTATTTAGAAAACAGGAAGAAGCAGGGATAGCTATCACAGAACCACACAGTTAAGAAACTGGCAAGGGCCAGGCGTGGGGGTGCTGGCCTGTAACCCCAGCACCCTGGGAGGCTAAGGCAGGAGGATTTCAAGTTCCAGGCCAGCCTGGGCAACAGAGAGAAACCCTGTCTCAAAAAATTAAAAGGTCTGAGGGTGTCGCTCAGTGGTAGAGCATCCCTGGGTCCGATCGCCAGTACCAAAAACAAAATAAAATAAAAATAGGGAAGTTAGGTAAGTTTGCTAAAATGAGACCGACCGCATGTCATAAGGTCATGGAAACCATACAGAGACGTTTGAACTTGATCTTGTAATTGATTTCAGAAGAGCCATCGAAAAATCTGAGTAAGGGAGTAACCAAAAGGACACCTTGAGCAAATACGAATGGGGGTGGTTAATATGGGAGTTTTGAGTTCCTCAACTAAGAAGGTGGCACTAACAGGAAAGGGGGCCTCAGGATGTAGGGAGTGTTCGCTGGACTAAGCAGCTCGGGGCTTAAGTGCAAGAAGGTGAGTTTACATTCTCTCTCCAGTCTTTCTTCTCTCCATCTATAAATCAAGTGCAGTGAGAATTAATCAAACGACTTCCAAAGCTTTACTTTTCAAAGTGTGGTCCTCCAGCCAGCAGCAATGGCATGATCCAAAAGCATTTTAGAAATGCAGAACCTCAGCCTGAGAGCATGGTGGCATGTATCTCTTGTCCGAGCTATTCAGGAGGCTGAGGCAGGAAGATCCTTTGAGCCCCTGGGTTTGGGGCCTGCCTGGTAAACAGAGCAACACCCCATCTCTATTACAAAAAAAGAAAGAAAGAAAATCAGAATCTGCATTTAAATGATCCAAAATCACGTTGAAGTTTGAAAAGCACTTCTCTAAACTGACTTCCAATCCCAAAATGAAACTATTTCACACTCACCTCAATTCTGTCACTTCACAGGAGGGGGAGGGGGCCTGTTCAGCCTTCTTTGTACCCTTTGTACCCTTCTTTGTACCCTGATCCTAACAGCCTCTCTCTCCGGGTTGCCCACACCAGGCAGCCTTCTTAGGAAACACCAATGAGGCGATGCTGCCACCTTGTGGCCATGGTGTGCAAGTGCCCTTAACTCCATTTTCATTAGCCGAGGGGGAGGGTTGGAAGGGGGGGTGAAGTCCAGTCCCAGGTGTGATAAGAGAATCACAACTGCACACAGTGACTGCAAGTAACTGTCAGAGATTGAGTTCAGCCTGCACCCAAGAGCAACGTTACATTTAAAAGGTAGTTTTTATAATATCCAATAATGTGGTATTAGGGGAAAACTTGGATTCCCAGCCAGGTTCTGCCTTTGTAACATTAAAAATCATTGTGTGACCGCTGAACACAGTGTGGCTCAGCCTATACTTCCAGCAACTTGGGAGGCCAAGGCAGAAGGATTGCAAATTTGAAGCCAGCCTCAGAAACTTAGTGAGACTGTCTTAAAATAAAATTTTTTTAAAAGAATGGGATAGGTAGCTCAGTGGTGGAGCACTTCCTGGTTTCAATCCCCAGCATCACCCCACACATAAAGAAAAGCATGGTGACAGGCATTTTCAGTCACCCAGCCCTCCCTGAACTCTTCCAGTAAACATGTAATTTTCCAAGGAAACTACCTTTTCCTGTGACAGCTCCTTTTCTCCCTGAACCAAACAATGTACACCCACCAACACTAGTCCTACTCCGTTGCCCCCAAATAAATCTAATACCTTTTCACACAGCAAACCTTTGAATGCTTGCAAACAACGACCATGCACCAACCATGGCTTTCTCTGAGCCATTTTCCAAATGACATAATCAGAAGCCCTACAGCAAGTGAACCCTGGGAGTGTTCCAACCAGGCCAGCCGGGCACAGGAATACCTGTTTCCACACTGCACCCGTATTTAGAAAGTCACACACCACCTCAGCAGATTTGGGAGGAGTGATTTTTCCTACTTGTGCTGTTTTAGTTGCCCCATGCCTGCATAGGTTTATACTTCTTTTCTGGTCCTGGGGATTGAACCCCAGGGGCGCTTAACCACTGAGCCACACATCCAGGCCTTTTTATTTTTTTATTTGGAGACAGGGTCTTGCTAAGTTGCTTAGGGCCTCGCGAAGTTGCTGAGGCTGGCCTTGACTTGTGATCCTCCTTCCTCAGCCTCCAGAGCCGCTGGGATTACAGGTGTGGGCCACCTGCCTGGCTATCTTTCTTATTTAGTTTTATTTTTTAAGGGATATTTATCAGCCCCTGTGCACGGAAACAACAAAGAGGAAGTGGACCTGGTCCCTGATCACACAGACCTCAGGCCATGGAGGGAACCCAATTCAAAGCCAGATGCCTACATTTCAGTGCCAAATATCAGGTTAGAGGTAAATGCTGCATTTTTGCATTCATTTTATTAATCCCTTGTGAAAAACCTTCCACTCCTGATTTTCTTGGTTCTTCCTTTCAAGCTCAAAGTGTAAAAAAAGAGAGGGAGAGAGACTGTAAGTGTTCCAGATGGTCCCTTGCACAGTCACAATTAGACTGATCATTTCTTTATGGCTAATGAGTGTGTCTTGGACTCCCACTTTGTTCTGAATATGCTGACTCTCCTATAAGGACATTTGGGTATGCGGCAGCATTTTAAAGAAAATCTAGTAAGTCAGGAAACCTGTTTTAATGTTGTGTCCTTGAGACTGACCGACAGCATTTAAGCTAATCAGATAACTTCCCTGCACTTTATTTTATGTATGTATGTATGTATGTATGTTCTGGGAGTTGAACCCATAGGTGCTTCATCACGGAGCCACATCCACAGCCCTTTTTAATTTTTATTTTGAAATGGAGTCTCGCTAAGTTGATTAGACCTCCCTGCACTTTAACTTCTGCTTCTGTGAAGTGGGGCAGGGGAACACAACTCCATAACTATGCAGATTGCAGGAGCTGCTCAGAGACGGCTTCAAACCTTGCTCTGCTGGGTATCCAACATCTAGCAAATACCAGGTTCTCATCAGGCGCTCCAGCCTTTACTGATTAATGTCTGAGTAACAGCAACATGAAGCGTGGAGTCGGTCAGCAAAGATTCTTGAACGCTGGCCAACTGCAGGAATGAATGGGGAAACCAAATAGCCAAAGGAGAGTGGCCTCTGCTCCCTACTCTCACCTGCCTTCTTCCAGGGAGGAGACCTTTAAAAGTCAGACTCGGAGCTGGGGTGGTTGCTCAGTGGCACAACGCTTGCCTAGCACATGTGAGGTCCTGGGTTCAATCCCCAGCACCACATAAAAACTAATAAAACAAAATAAATGTATTGTGTCCATCTACAACTAAATTTTTTTTTTTTTAAGTCAGACTCTTTGGACACAACAATGTTCCCAAGATGGGCCATAAGGAGTTGTCAGTGTGTATGTGTGTGTGTGTGTGTTTTGAAGTTCTAGGGAGTGAACCCAGTGGTGTTCAACAGCTGAGCTCCATCCCCAGCATTTTTTATTTTTTATTTTGAGACAGGGTCTTACTAAGTTGCCCAGGCTGGCCTTGAACTCGTAATCCTCCTGCCTCAGCCTCCTGAGTCGCCAGGATTACAGACCTGCACTACTGCGCCCAGATTATGGGTGCTTTACATCGATGAACCTGAAGGACCCTCAGCTCCCTCCCATGGTACACCCACCCCAAGTCCATGGAGGGGAAAACCATACTGAGAGAACTGACAGGGAGCCAGGGCCTGCGGGGACAGGGTAAACAGAGAGAGGGGACCTGGAGGAAGGTCTGAGGAGCTCCCTGGCCCCACAGTGACATCAGGTAGACTGATGGTCAGGTCCACGAAGGGAGCAGATGCCCCGCCAGGCCCCACGCCTACATATGCGCATTTCTCAGTAAGGTTTTTTTCCTTCTACTGAATTGCTTGTCCACACACCCTCCAAGGGCCTAGGTCAGGGGTTACGGGAGGATGATCTCTCCATTCAACAAATATTTGTGGAGTGGAGTGGAGCGCCAGGCCCTGCAGGAGTCCCCTGAGTCCCGAGAATACCAAAATGAGCCATGGACAGCCGCTGCCCTGGGAGACTCCACCCTCCTGACGCTCCTCTGCCCCATCCCCCTCTCTGCTCCCCACCAGCCCAAATTCTGCCCCACACCATGAGACCGGCTCACGTGCCACCTGAACAGGGTCACTCTGTCTCCCGTGAACTTCTGCCGTCTCTGAAAGTTGACTCCACTTATACCTTTAGGTTTTATGAAGCATATGTTATCCCCTTGTTTAGACTTGGCCCCCTGAAAACAAAAACCACTTCTAGAATTTTCTAGAAAGAAGCCACACCAGTGGTTTGTATCAGGTCAAGCCAGAGCCTTGGATTCTGGGACAGTTTTCACTGACTAATCGACTCCCCTACACGACAATAGGCCAAGATGATTTGAAAACTGAGGGGGAAGGAATGATCGACCAAAAATCAAAAAGAATTTGACCATGCCTTGGGTCTTTCCTTCTCTTGGGATCCAGTGTCATCCCACCATCTCACTCCTAAGTGGGGGCTTCCAGGTAGGACCTCCTTGTCGTTTATTCCTTTAGCCTCTACAAATACCACCAGGCATTCACGCTGCATCTCTTCCCCTTCTTTGACACATTCCTAAAGTCTCCAGAACAGACACCAAGTTTGTGAGTTGCTGAAGTTCCACAGCCGTCACAGACTGGATTGTGAATGACCCCCAAAGGTCCGTGCGTTAAAGGCTTGATTAGCCTGTGGTGCTATGAGGAGGTGGTGAACCCCTAGGAGGTGGAGCCCCCAGGAAAAAAGTTAGGTTGTCGGGTACAGTGGAGCAGGCCTGTAATCCCAGTGGCTCAGGAGGCTGAGGCAGGAGGATCGCGAGTTCAAAGCCAGCCTCAGCTGAGTGAGGGCCTAAGCAACTCAGTAAGAACCTATCTCAATAAAATATTAAAAAGGGTTGAGGAGGGCTGGGATTGTGGCTCAGCGGTAGAGCACTGGCCTAGCACGCTTGAGGCCCTGGGTTCCATCCTCAGCACCACATAAAAATAAACAAATAAAATAAAGGCATTCTGTCCATCTACAACTACCACAAAAATTAATAAATAAATAAAATAAAGGATTGAGTCCAACTACAATTTAAAAAAAAATAAAAAAGAGGCTGAGGATGTGGCTCAGTAGTTAAGTGCCTCTGGGTTCAATCCCCAATACCAAAAAAAAAAAAAAGACAGAAAGAAAGAAAGAAAAGAATTCTTTCACTGATCACTGGGATCACTGGGAGTGTGGCCTTGAAGGGGACATTGAGACCCTGGCTCCTTCCTGTCTCTTCTTCCTGGCTGCCAGGAGGTGAGCAGTTTCCTCCATCATCTCCTATGGCCCCCTCCACAGGCCCCAAAGCATCAGGAACAACTAGCCATGAACTGAAACCTTGAAAACCAGGAGCCAAAATAAACCTTCCTCCTTATAAGCCGATTATTTCAGGCCTTTCGTCACGATCATGCAACGTGGACTATCACAATAACGCTCCACGTTTACTATAAGTATTATTAACTTTCTAATTTTGCCCTGAAGCAGCATCCAAACAAGGTCAGTAGCCAGGAGCCCCAGCAGCCTGGGGCTGAAAGGCTCCTTCCCGCCTGGGATTCCTGTTTCTCTGGCCCTCTGGGACCTGAAGCCGGTTCCCTCTCCTTTAGACTGGAGCAGCTAAGCCCCAGCCATCTTCCTGATGAACAGCGAGGCTGGTCTTGCCCACTGCTCCCGGGCAGCATTCTGGGCAAAGGAGAACTGCTTCTTCTGGGTCCTGACCACCTTCCACGGCTAAAGAATAGTAAGAATGGTAAACAGAGGACCGGCCACTTCCCAGGCAGCGCCACTACCGCTGCCGATCCTTTGCCAGGAACAGAAATGAGAAGAGCAAGAGAAAACAGACGTGTCCTCCTCTCTGGTCAACCCTCAGTTCCCACTTTGTCACTAGAGACAGTCACTGAAAGGTATAAGGAAATTTGAATAAGAAAAAAGTCTTGAATATCAGAGCACCCGGTGGGGTGGGCAGGTAAGAAGGAGGACCAGAAGGAACAGGTATTGCTGCCAAGTTATCAGTCACTTATGTGCTTAAGAATGCTGCATTTCTTTTGTTTGACGAGTTTTACCTCCCAGATTCCCGTAAAGCACCTGGTCCGGTCTGTTATCTAACCACAAGGGCAGCAGTGCCTTTCCTGTTCTTACCCTCCGAAGGGAACACCAGCCTGGGACTGAGGTGCTGACCACCACCCTGAGTGCTGCGCCTGGGCCTTCCCAAGAAATTGGGAACCTCTGACTGGGGCAAGCAGCTTCCAGCACCACCCACAGCCACCATGAAGGTTCTGATCTTGACCCTCCTGTTTCTGCCACTACTGCTGATGTCCATGGTCTCTAGCAACCCGAACTCAGGTAAATAAGATTGATTTTCTATAAAGGGGGGAGAAAGGGGGCAGAAAACGTGTTAAAACAGGCCACACATGTGTTAAAACGTAGCTCCTTTTGCTACGAAGATATTGTAAGGCCAGGGGCTGTGGCACGCACCTGTAATGTCACTACTTGGAGGATGAGGCAGGAGGACTTTAAGTTTGAAGCTAACGTGGGCACCTTAGCAAGAAGTGCCAGGGGTATAGTTCGGTGGTAAAGCACCTCTGGGTTCAATCTCAAGTACAAAAAAAAAAAAAAAAAAGATATACTGTTCTCTCTCTCTCCCTCTCTCTCTCTCTCTCTCACACACACACACACACACACACACACACACACACACACACTAGCTCAACCAAGATTTCCCCTTCTCCCCTCCAACTCCTTTTCCAGAAGAGTAATAAATTTCCCCAGGGCCAAACTATGTGGCAGAGGTGACCGGATGTGAAGGTAAGTGTACACTCACAGAAGGTAAAGAAGTCCCATGTTCCTCATACTGCCCTAGAGATGCCACTGACAATTTTTAATGGTATTTAACGGTACTGTGGTAAAGCAGAAAACTGCGATTGCCAGGCAGAACCCACAAGTTCTAACCGTACCAAGCCCTGAAACAGCTCACCTTCTGGGAAGCAGAGCTTTGGTGAGGCATAGCCAAAGTGGCTCAGCCCTGTGCACAGCAGAGAGCTTGTCCCCGTGTGTGTGTCTCCTCCAGAGCACCATCCCATCCCAGGGCTACTTGAAGTGCCATTGCTTGTACTGTGTTTGGCATTCCTCAGCCTGGGCTCCACTCAGACCTGCTTTTCCAGCCCTGAACCTCTGCTCAACACCAAGACTCTCTGCTCCACCCTGACTCCCTGCTGTTCCCAAAACAGGTTCTGCTGTTTTCCTCCTCCAGATCCAAAGCCATCTCCTCCCCCAAGCCTCCCTAGATTCCTCCCAGACAGATAGGGTGCTCCCCTCACGGAGCGGGCTCAGCCCTAACTTGACTCTCTTTTTGCATTGATCATATTCTGCCTGTATTGAAAGTGTTCGTGCGCCCTCCATCCCCTGCCCCTGCCTCCTAACTGTAACCTCCCCGGTGGCACAAATGGGCCATGTCCCTCACATTATCCAGCACAGGACACAGTAAATATTAGCCAAGTCCTCAGGTTTCCAAGTACAAAATATTGCTCCTTTGAGACTCTCTATACCAGAGTTTGATAGCAGCTCTATTGACATTTGGGGCTGAACAACTCTTTGTTGTGGGGGCTGTTCTTTGTATTGTAATATGGCATCTACCCACTGGACGCCAAGAGTGGCCTCTTCCCTCCTCAACACGCTCCAGTTAAGAAATCTAAAAAAATGCTAGGCTGAGTCAAGAGGACTGCAAGTTCAAAGCCAGCCTCGGCAACAGCAAGGCGCTAAGCAACTCAGTGAGACCCTGTCTATAAAAATACAAAATAGGGCTGGGGATGTGGCTCAGTGGTTGAGTGCCCCTGAGATCAATTCCTGGTATTCCCCCCCCAAAAAACAAAAAGAAAGCTAAAAATACTTCCAGACATTGCTAAATGTTTCCTGGCGGGGCAGCGGGGGGCATTGACACTCCCAGTGGAGAACCACGGCTCTATTCCAATAGTTCTTAAACCTGGTCACATGTTTAGATTCAGCATTTGAGTTATTAGGACCCAGATCCAAATACCAACTCTACCCACTCACTTTCCAACTCTCCACAAGTCATTTAAGTGCTTTGAGTCTCAGTGTCACCATATTAAAACACATAAAATAACCGGGTGCAGTGGTGCGAGCCTGAAATACAGCAACTAGGGAGGCTGAGGCAGGAGGATCACAAGCTCAACGCCAGCCTCAGCAACTTGGCGAGGACCTGTCTCAAAATAAAATATAAAAAGGGCTGGGATGTGGCTCAGTGGTTAAGTACCCCTGGGTTCAATCCCCAGTACCAAATATAACAATAATAATAAAACACATAAAATAACATTTATCACACGGACTTGCAAAGATTAAATGACCTACAACATTCATCTAGAAAGAGGTTGTTAGCACAGAAGAACCAGGCTGGACACAAACTTCACATATCATTTCAGCCTTTTATTCAGGAACGATGGGCCCACTTTCCAGGTGGAAAATAAGTCACTGAACAAAGGAGGGGACTGGGCTTCTATAGGTTCTACTGAGAGGTGAGTTAGTTAATGAATGTGTCAGTTTGGGCACTCAGGAATTTGGGGTCTGTTTTACTGAGTGAAATGGGAGGGGGTTTGGGGTCAGCAGTCAGTATCTGGGATTTACTTACTGGAATGGATGGAGGGCACTGGTTGGTATCTGGAAAGGATTTGTTTAGCAAAGGATCAATGCTTTGGACATCTCCTCCCCAGGGTTTGTTTAATCACCAGGAAAGAATGTACTGGGGAAGGATCGACGCTCTCAATGTATGGCTTTCTGTCTCTCTTCCCTTTTCCCAGGCTTCACTATTTGAGGGGTTTGTCAGTTTCCATATCTAATAGAGGTCAATAAACAGACCAAGTGCAATTCGAAAACAGTTCCTAACACACGATGAACTGGGGAAGGCTCCCTGTGCCACCAAGTGTGGCTATCACAAATCACACAATGGACGGGGGCTGGGCTCCAGATTTGCTTCCAGCCAAGCAATTTTGCAATCCTGCCAAAGTCTGAGCCAATTCATAATGGAAGGAATGACACCTCACACTGTCCAAAACAATTCTCAAAACAAAATCTGATCTTACTTTATCTTTTTTTTTTTTTTTTTTTGGATACTGGGGATTGAACTTAATAACTGAGTCACATCCCAGGCCTTTTGCTAAACTTTGTATGTTTTAGACAGGATCTCACTAAGTTGCGTAGGGCCTTACTAAGTTGCTGAGGCTGGCTTTGAACTCCTGATCCTCCTGCCTTAGCCTCCCCAGCTGCTGGGATTATAAGTATGCACCACCGTACCTGGCTTTACTTTACCTTTGAAAATAACTACATCTGTGCTTTTCAATATGCTTTTCCCAGCAGAGAGGGAAGGAAAAAAAATGTGAGAGTATTAGGAAATAAATTACTTATAATAACAGATTATTTACTTCTTGTAATATTACTTATTTATAAAATTGCTTATAATAATACCTTACATGTATTAAGCACTCTATGTTGCCTGGCTCAGTGTGGCTCACGTCGGTAATCCCAGCAATTTGGGAGGCTGAGACAGGAAGCCAGCCTGGGCAGCTTAGACAGGCTCTGCTTCAAAATAAAAATAAAAAGGGCTGAGGTTGTAGCTCAGTGGTAAAGCACCCTAGGGTTCAATCCTCAATACTGCACATGTGCATGTGCATGCGCGCGCGCGCGCGCGCACACACACACACACACACACACACACACACACCCTCCTGTGTTGCAGGCTTTGTTCTAAGCGCTCTACACAGACAGCATTAATTCACTTTGTCCTCATAGATCTAATGAATTTTTTTTCCTTTCATTTCTCATACTTTCAAAACTGTAAAAATAGATTTCCAGTATATCCTTCATCCACTTTTTTTAAAATATTTTTTTTAGTTATACATGGACACAATATCTTTATTTTGTTTATTTATTTTTGTGTGGAGCTGAAGATCGAACCCAGTACCTCACATGTGCGAGGCAAGTGCTCCACCACTGAGCCACAACCCCAGCCCTCCTTCATCCACTTTTTTCAAATAACTTCTTATATAACCATAATACGATTATAAAAATAGGAGATTGGCACTGATACAATAATGTTAACTAATTCACATTTAAATTTTTGTTAATTATCCCATGTATGTCCTTTTTCTAGTTCAGAGTTTGATTCAAGATCCTACGCTGAATAAAAGTGCTCTGTCTCCTTGGTATCCTCCAATCTAGGGTAGTTTCCCAGTCCTTCCTTCTTTCATACCTTGATGATGATGATGATGATGATGATGATAATAATAATAATAATAATAATAATAATGGTATTAGGAATTGAACCCACTGAGCCACATCCCCAGCCCTTTTTATTTTTTATTTTGAAATAGGGTCTCACTAAATTACTGAGGCTACTCTCTAACTTCCAATCCTCCAGACTCAGCCTCCCAAGTCACTGGGATCACAGGTGTGCACCCAGCCCTTGAGATTATTTTGAGGAATACTGGGCAGGTATTTTGCAAAATGTCTCCAGTTGGGTTCATCCAATGCTTCCTCATGACTAAGTTCAGGTTATTCATTTGGGGCATGTGTCAGCTTTTCATCACTGTGATCAAAATACCTGACAAGAACAACTTAGAGGAGGAAAAGTTTATTTGAGGCTCACAGTTTCAGAAGTCTCAGCCCATGGCTGGCCAACTCCATTGCTCCCAGTCTGAGATGAAACAGAACATCATGGTGGAAGGGTACGGTGGTGGAAAGCTGTGAGCCTATGACAGCCAGAAAGAGGGGGGACAGAGAAAGAGGAGCCAGGGACAAGATATAGCCCAAAGCCACAGTGACTGACTTCCTCCAGCCACGTCCCACCTACTGACGATTATCACTCAGTACTCAGTCGTCTATTCAAATTAGTAATCTACTGATGAGGTTCAGATCTCATAATCTAATCACATCACCTCTCAACATTCCTGCACTGCCTGACACGTGAGTTTCTGAGAGGACACTCAAATCCAAATCATAACAGGGCAAAAATACCACAGAAATGATGTGTCCTTCTCAGTACGCCACAGAAGGAGACTCAGCATGCAGCCATCTCTCGTTGCTAGTGATGATAATCGGTTAAGGTTGTGTCTGCTAGTTTTCTTGACTGTAAAGTTACAGTTTTCCCCCTTGTAATTAATAAGTGTTCTGTGGAGAGATACTTGAAGACTGCAAATATCTTACTCCTTATCATAATACTTTTACCCAATCAATAATTTTTTAAATTCATTAATGACTCTTACCTACAACGATGATTACTGTGGTGTTAACCACATAGTGATTTTCCATTTCCTTCATTCCTTCTACATTTAGTCATTGGAATTCTACTATAAGAAAGAGCACCGGGCACAGTGGAGCGCACCTGTGATCCTAGGGAGCAGAGACTCAGGAGGCTGAGGCAGGAGTATCACAAGTTCAAGGCCAGCCTCAGCAACTTAGCAAGACCCTGTCTCAAAATAAAAAGTAAGAAAAGGACTGAGGATGTAGCTCAGTGGTAAAGCACCCCTGGGTTCAATCCCCAGTACAAGAAAGAAAAAGAGAGAGAGAGAGATAAGCTATTCCTCCTCCTTTTACTGATTAATTCAATTATCTATTTCCATCAGAATGGACTCATGGATATTTATGGGTTATAATCCATTACTATCATTATTTATTGTTATTCATATTGTACCTGAATTGGCCACTGGGGCTTATTCAAGTCGACTTTTGCGATCTTTTAATATCCCCCATTATTTTTGAGCAGTTCTTGCTTTCTGACACCACAATATATTCTAGGTTCATCTTGTACTTTCTTACCCCAGCCCTGAAATCAGTCACTTCTACAGGGAACCCAGGTTCCTTTCATGGGAAAATGCTGTTTTACAAATGATGGGCAATACATACAACCTTTGCTAGTGGCTGCCATTACTTCTAGACTCTCTAATGGACAGAGCTGGGAAATAACAACATTAATGTACTACATTTTACAAATCAGGTAAACGAGGCACAAATGAGTTAAGCTGGCTAAAATCACAAAGCAAATTTATAGTAGAACTGGGAAACCAAAATAGTGATAGACGTACCACAATTCCTAACAAGTAACTTTTGTTGTTGTTGTTGTACTCTGGATTGAACCCAGGGGCACTTAACCACTGAGATAAGTCCCCAACCCTTTTTTTAACTTTATTTTTTTTTTCACTATCACCATATTACTTCCTGAGCCCCATAAATTCCAAGAAATATTTTTACTTTTTTTTTTTAATTTTGAGAGGATCTTTCTAAATTGCTGAGACTGGCCTCAAATTTGTGATACTTCCACCTCAGCCTCCCAAACTGCTGGGATTACAGGTGTGTACCCCAACTAACAAGTAACTTTTTAACAAATAAATGCCTTTTCGCAGAAAGCCCCATATCTAATATTCTAGCATAGACACCATTTTTGAAAAATAACTAGAAGTCCACAGTAATAATCACAATAATAATCACCATGTACTGAAGGCCTGGCTGCACTCACGGTACCTCGTAATTCCTCAGAACTCTGCAAAATGGAGACCACTATTCTCATTTTACTCAAGGGAAATCGAGAATCAAGGAAGCAGAGGGACTTGTCTAGTTAAGTGACGAAGCCAGCCGCTAACCCCAGGTCTATCTGGATATAAAGGCTCTGTTTATTCCGCGTATCATGGTTTCCCAAAACTAATTTTAGGTGAAACATAAATTCACATTTTTTTTTACCTCAGTAATTACATGTTTGTTTTAATGGATATTAGAAAAAGATCCAAGCATGCATCAAGCCTGTAACTTCACAGATGATATCACACAGAATGAGACTGTTTTGTAAAATAAATTTAGAGGAAATATATGAAGTAGATAATAGTTGAGGTGGTAATAGAAAAAATCATAAATCCCAGTGGCTCAGGAGGCTGAGACAGGAGGATTGCAAGTTCAAAGCCAGCCTTAGCAAATTAACAAGGCCCTAGAGAAAGAGAAAATCATAAAGATAGTCCCTAACTGCCTGAGGTTTGGAAGACATAATACAACAATTCCAAGCAGCCTCATTTTCAGCTGTATGAGCCTAGCTTTCATGTAGGGTCATGATAATAACAACAGACTAAGGATCTTGGACCTGGGTTTAACATTACCTTTGTGAACTTGGGCATTTCATTTGCTGTCATTGGGGCTCAGTTTCCTCATCCAAAAATAAAAAGAAATAGTGATTTAGTTCATTATTATAGCCCTTTGAAAGCAATTTGATGATAATATCAAGAACCATAAGGCCAGCATAATGGCTCACACTGGCAATCCCAGCTATTCAGGAGGCTGAGGCAGGAGGATCACAAGTTTGAGGCCAGACCCAGCATCTTAAAGAGGCCCTAAGCAACTTAACAAGACTCTGTTTCTAAATAAATAAATAAATGGGGCTGGGGATGTAGCTCAATGCATGTAGCCCCATCCAAGTACTCCCACGTTCCATCCCAAGTACAGAAAGAAAGAAAGAAAGAAGAAACAAGAACTGTTCTTAAATTTCCACTAGTATTTCCACTTTGGGAACTCTCTTCCAATGAGAGAGATTTTTATTCTCTTTCCCAAGAAAATAATCCAAAATTTAGAAAAAGTTATAAAAATGAAAAACTTTTGTCAGTGTCTAAACATAAAGCAACCTAAAGATTCAGCAATGGGAAAACAGTTAAGTAATTTGGAAAACAGATACTTGTTGCAGTCATTAAAAATATCTATTATGGGGCTGGGGTTGTGGCTCAGTGGGAGAGCACTTGCCTGCCATGTGTGAGGCCCTGGGTTCGATTCTCAGCAGCACATATAAAATAAAATAAATAAAATAAAGGTCTATCATCACTAAAAAAAATAAATTCTAAAAATATATCTATTATGAAGATGAAATATCATCATGCTCTATGAAGGGGGGTAGAAATCCGTTTGTGTACTGTGGTTATCCCTACATAAAGAAAACCATATATAGATCACACACCAAAATACCAACATTTAGTAAGAACAGTGAGTTTTTTGTTATATCTCAAAACTTTCTCCAATATAGTTGTATTACATTTAGAATGAAAACCCTCCTCAATTAAGGGATTCAACTAAATGGTCTCTAAGATTCTTTCTTGCTCTTATATTGTGTGGGGTTTTTTGGTGGATCAAGGAGTAGAGGTCATGCACAAGCGAAATATGAGAAAAGGGTAGCCAGCCGAGGCTATGCCTGTTTACTTTTACAACTCTCTAAATAGCATGAGAACATTTGAAAACTAGCACTTGGGGAAATGATGTAACACCCTCCATCTGTGTAGCAGAAAGGGCACAAGTCTGGGAAATAGGAACCTGAATTGGACCAGACGATCTCTAAGGGCCCTCTCCAAATTAAATTGTCCAGCCACTCATTTGAACAAACGTTTACCAAATGCCTGCCGTGTGCCAGGAGCAAAGTAGCTGAATGACTACTGAACTGTTGGTTCTAAGTCTAGTGATGGAGAATGATTTTGTTTTAGGATCAGCATAACAAAATTTCATAGACGGGGCGGTGGCTTAGACAACAGAAATTTATATTCTCACAGTTCTGGAGGTTGGAAATCCAAGGTCAGAGGTTCCGCAGGTTTGGTTCTTCTACTTGGCCTGCAAATGGTTGCTGTCTTCGTTTGGGCTGCTATGACAAATCACCACAGGTTGAGTGGCTTATAAACAACAGGAGTTTATTCCACAGTTCTGGAGGCAGGACTTCTGAGATCAGAGTGTCAGTATGATTAGGTTCTGATAAGGGTCCTCTTCCAGGTTGCACAGTCTTCACATGACAGAAAGAGTGAGAAAACCCTCTGGGTTCCCTTTTATAAGGGCACTAATCCCATTCATGAGGGCCGTACCTTCATGACCTAATTATTTCCCAAAGACTTCACTTCCTGATACATTGAGTATTAAGATTTCAACATACACACTTCACGGGGACACGAACATTCAGTTCATAATAGCCATCTTCTTACTGGATCCTTGCAGGGCCATTCTGCTGTGTACACACACTCCTGTGTGCCCAAATCTTATCTTCTTAAAAGGACATGGCTCAGTGAGTTAGGGCCCACCAAACAATCTTATTTTAACCTAATCAGCTCTTTAAGGACCCCATCTCCAAAAAACAGACATTCAGAGATACTGGAAGTTATGAGTCTTAATCCCAATGACTTGGGAGACTGAGACAGGAGGATCAAGAGTTCAAAGCCAGCCTCAGCAACAGTTAGGTACTAAGCAACTCGGTGAGACCCTGTCTCTAAATAAATACAAAATAGGGCTGGGGATGTGGCTCAATAGTCGAGTGCCCCAGAGTTCAGTCCCCAGTACCCACCCCCCAAAAAGACAAAGGCAACCCTGTGAAGGCATAATCGACTCCAACAGGAAATATTGCTGTACAGAGTGCACTCTGCAGAGGACGTATCCTCTGGGCTCAGCACCTTATTGTTTTGATTCCCTCCGCTAGCCCCTCCTCCGAGAGCTGGTGAGAATCTCAAGTCTATAAGCCATCATCCTTGATTGTCAGAAAACTATTTTAAAGCCAGGTGTAGTGGCGCAAGCCCATAGTCCCAGCCATTTGGGAGACTAAGGCAGGAGGACTGCTTGAGTCCAGGAGTTCAAAGTCAACCTGGGCAACACAGTAAGACCCTGTCTCAAAAATATATAAATTTTAAAGCTGAGCACAGTGTTACACGCCTGTAATCCCAGTAGCTCAGGAGGCTGAGGCAGGAGGATGGTGAGTTCAAAGCCAGCCTCAGCAAATTTTCGAGGCCCTAAGCAACTTAGCAAGACCCTGTCTCTCAATAAAATATAAAAAAAAAAAAAAAGCGCTAGGGATGTCATTCAGTGGTTAAGCGCCCCTAGGTTCAGTCCCCAGTAGCAAAACAAAAAAAGATAGATAGACAGACAGATAGATAGATAGATATTATCACAATAAAATCAGCTTGGATAGAGGCCAAAAGCGGAGTGTGTTTGTTCCAGAGGAACACATGCAAATACCATCCTCGTATAGTTTGAACTGGAATTGTGAATCCAAACACAGTAATTTGGAGGTCAGGTGGAAATCTTGGTTAATGGAATAATGAGATCCTTGTTTTCACTCCTGAAGTCATGAGGATTTGAACGTAGGGGACAAGGAGAGGGTGTACAGTCCTGATAACCCCTAACCTTTTGTCCTCTCTTCCATCAGAGTCCTTTCTTTCTTCACCAACCTTCAGCTCAGCTTTTCTCTAAGCCAGATTTTAAAACTCTTATTCTTTATCCATTTAAAACACTCCTCTCTTGAAGAACCCTAGATCCCCAGAGCAAATAAAGAGATGAAACGGAAATTCTTGACCTAGGTAGCACAATAGGGGATTTCTGTTGGCCCCTTCCCTTTCCGGTGCCTGGAAGTGACCTGTTTCCTTCCAACAGGGGTCGCCAGAGGCAACAGGGACCAACGCCAGGCTTCTGGGAGGAGGCTCCTGAAAGGCAGCCAAGAATGTGAGTGCAAAGGTCAGTAACTCAGCATGGACACAGCCCTGGCACCACAGTGACCCCAGCTCTCCCCTGGAGCCCCTCTGAGAGCAGGGCAGATGTTCTCCGAGCTGACCTCAGCATCCAAAACACGCAGCACCCTTGCCGGCTTGCTTTCTGAGTTTCGGGCAAGAACTGGACTCCTCCAAGGCCTAGTGGGGAGCTGGCCAAAATTCAGGCTGTCCTCTTCCCCTTCCTCTTTACCCCAAAAAATCTAGGGCTGTCTTCCAAAAGGATTGTCACATTTTCCTGGCTTTCCAAAAGCATCCTAGATCCTATTCTCAGCCTCATTGAACTCACAAAAAAAAAAAAAAAAAAACCTGAAAACAGAGATAAAATGATTTGCCCAAGGTATAGCAGCCCTCCAAAGATAATGCCTACGTGCATGAATGATTCTGTCAAAATAAACCCAACTATTATGTATAACTATAATGCACTAATTAAAAAAAAAAAAGATATTGCCAGGCTCAGTGATGCACGCTTGTAATCCCAGTGGCTTAGGAGGCTGAGGCAGGAGGATCACAAATTCAAAGTCAGCCTCAGCCATTTAGTGAGGCCCTAAGCAACTCAATGAGACCCTGTCTCTAAATAAAATATTTAAAAGGTCTGGGGATGTGGCTCAGTGGTTGAGCACCCCTGGGTTCAGTCCCTAGTACAAAAAAAAAGATAATGCCTAGATCTTACTGTTCATTCTGTGATTTTCCCAATGCTATCTCCCTCTAAACCAAATCTTTAGAAGTCAGTAAAACAGTTCATAAATCCTGGTGTTCAAATAGCTGGAGGTTTCCAGCTGTTCTGCGTTGACCCCTCTCCCCACCCCCACTGCAGTGTAGAAAAGGAAACGCCCCCCCCCCCCCCCCCCCCCTACTTCCCAACGCACCGACCCTCCTGTCTGAGCAGCAGCCTGTTATTTCAGATTGGTTCCTGAGAGCCTCTAAGAAAAAACCCATGACAGCGGCCGGGCTGCCAAAGAAGCGATGTCCCTGTGATCATTCTACAGTCAGCGTGAAGAAAACCAGTAAGTTTCAACAAACTGGCCTTCCTTAAACCAAAGTCACGCCTGGGTGTCACTAGGGATGGAGCAGAGGCTGAGAACAGAAGAGGAGTGGACGCCAGGAAGGAAAAGCACACGTCTGGGCCCTGGGTCCTCAATGCCGACCTGTGAAGAAAGAAGAAGACAGGGAAAGCAGGGTACAGCCACCTGGTCCTGGAAAGGGTTAGCCAAATTCCTAGGTTTTAGGCCTTCGATGCTTATCAAAGTGGAGGGAGAAGGGGTATTAGGATCTGATCATTGATTTCTGAAGATGACACCAGGGTTAGGGTCAACAGAATATGACTCCTCCCCTGCCTAGGGAGGCTGGTTTGGGTTTGGTTAGTTTGGGGGATGAGATCTTGTCTTGTTGCTCAGACACACAATCTCCTGCCTCAGCCTCCCGAGTAGCCAGGATTACATGGTTGTGCCACCACACACAACTAGTCTAGTAGGTTTTAAGAATTATCAAGAATGGGATAAATCTGGATCCTTATACTCTCTTGATGGAAGTGAATTTGGCAGTACCTATAAAATTTTTAAATGAGTATACCTTCTGACCAGTAATCATATTTCGAGAAATATGATTATTAAAGATATTAAAGAAATTATTAAAGATACATATGTAAACCAGATATAGTGGCACAGGACTGTAATCCTGGCTACTTGGGAGACAGAAACAGGAGGCTCACAAGTTCAAGGTCAGCCTCAGCAATTTAGTGAGATCTTATCTCAAAATAAAAAGGGGTGGAGGTGTATCTCAGTGATAGTGCATCCCTGGGTTGAATCCCCAGCACCAAAAAACAAAACAAAGCAAAAAAAAAAAAAAAAGATATATGTACAAAAACTACAGTAGTATTTTTCTTGAAAAATAAATGGGGGTAAATGTTCATCAAATAAAATTGGGCAAATCTGCAGCTGTCAAAAATAATGAGGTAAATTATAATATATTGACTGAAAAGAAATTCATGATATATTAAGTGAAAAAATAAGTTTAAGTTGATTTGAGGGGCTGGGGTTGTGGCTCAGAGTAGAGCACTCAACTACCATGTGTAAGGTACCAGGTTCGACCTTCAGCACCACATAAAAATAAAATAAAGATATTGTGTCCACCTATAACTAAAAAATGAATATTTTTTAAAAATGTGAATTTGAAAGACAAATTCATAAGAAGGAAGGATTTTGTAAACAGAATACAAAATGTACAAACCATAAAGGAAGAGATTGATAAACCTGATTTCATTGAAATTTTAAATTTTTAATTATCAAAATAATAAAATGACAAACTACACAGTTGGAGATGATATCTGCAACATATATAACCCACAGAGGATTAGTACTGCCATGTGCCATGGCACACGCCTGTAATCCCAGTGACTCAGGAGGCTGAGGCAGGAGGATTGCAAGTTCAAGGCCAGCCTCAGCAACTTATCAAGGCCATAAGCAATTTAGTAAGACCCTGTCTCTAAATTAAACAAAAAGAAGAAAGAAGAAAACAAAACAAAAAAGATTAGTATTTAGTACTGAGAATACATAAAATATTCACACAAATCAACAACAAGAAGGCAGGCAATACAATGGATAGGTTAAAAGAGTTAAATAGTCACTTCTCAGATAAGGAAATCCAAATAGCTAACAAACATGTGAAATGACACTCAAACTTATTATTGGAAAAATGTAAATTAAATTCCAAACAAGATCATCACTGTTTCATCAGCAAATTGGCAAAAACTTTAAAGTCTGACAAGTTTAAGTGTTGCCAGAGAGTAGAGCAAAGAAACTCTCAGATGCTGCTAATGGGAGTGTAAGTTGGTAAATCACTTTGAAAAACATTGATGGTTATTTTCTAAACTTTAAACTATGTGGCCAAGCAATTTCACTATCAGGTATATACTCAAAAGTACACCAGGAGACGTGTATGACAATTTCATAGCAGCATTGCAATAACTACCCTAAACTGGAAACTGACCAAATGTCCATTGACAGTAGAATGAATAGGTAAGTCATAATACATTAGAATATTTGTGTGCACACGCATACACACACATCAGCGTGAATGTACAATCCCTAACAATATAAATGAATCTTGCCCCCATAATTTTGAAGGAAGAAAACAAGACACAGGGAGTAACTACAGTATGTTTTTGTGTACTGTCTTTATTTTACTTTATTTATTTTATTTTATTTTATTTTTGGTAGTGGAGATTGAATCCAGGGGCATTTAACCACTGAGCCACACCCTCAGCCCTTTAACGTTTTATTTAGAGACAGGGTCTCGATAAGTTGCTTAGGGCCTCTCTAAGTTGGTGAGGCTGGCTTTGAACTCCCAATCCTCCTACTTCAGCCTCCCAAGCTGCTGGGATGACAGGTGTGCGCCACTGTGGGAGACCAACCTTGCACGACTGAGTCACACTCCCCGGCTGGGTCTTGAGGCGCTCTGAGGTGCTCGGTTGAAGAAATGTGGCAGAGCTTTCCCCACCCTTCTTGGGTCCGAGGGTCGGGTGTCTCGTGCATGGGTGTGTCTTGCTACAGCCCCATGGGTGGAGCTACACTCACCTGTTCCTTTGTAATATAACCCCTTTCCCTGTTTAAGATAGAATCTTCCATGGAAGATTACTGTGCCCTTGGGTGTGGCCTACCCAGGTGTCAGTCAACCTGCTGACAGTGGACATCATGAAGATACTCAGCCCCCTGAAACCTGACCCCTTGCCTCATTTGAATAGCTTCTCAATAAAAGGGGTCAGCCGTGCTCTCGCTCTCTCTCTTCCTGTGGACCCTTAGGGTCAGAGGAGCCGTCACAGCCACCCCAAAGAAAAAGGTATTGTGTCTCTTGTGTGGTTATTTTGCGCTGCCCAGTTTAACTGGAGTGACCCCTGAGCCTTTTAGTCGCGAGAACAGAAACCCGGCACGCCACCATGCCCAGCCATCATGTACTGTCTTATTCCATTTGGACTGCTATAACCAAATACCATAGATGGGATGGTTATAAACAACAGAAATTTATTTCTTACAGTTCTGGAGATTGGGAAGCCCAAGATCAAGGTGTTAGTAGATTCAGGGTCTGCTGAGGGCCCACTTTCTGCTTTATAGATGATGGCTCCTAGCTGTGTCCTCACAAGGCAGAAGGGACGAATCAGCTCTCTTGGCCTCTTTTATATGGGCACTAATCCCATTTATGAGAGTTCTGCCTCTATACATAACTTTATGAATTTCTACACATGTATAATATTGTTTATAATAAAATATTTGTTCAGGGTGAAGGGCAAAGCAATACATATGGCATAATTTTTTATTTTTTAAACTAAACTACTATGTTTATTAAAAGATTTGGGAAAATATTTGACAAACTTTTAATGATGGTTAGCTCTAAGGAGGAGGGTATAGTGTTGAGGTTATAGGAAGCCTTTTGCTTTTTGCTGGATACATTTTTTTCATTTAAATATTTTCCACTGTACAAGTCTTACTCTTATAATTTTAAAAGCACTCATAAGCCAGGTGCACACACCTGTAATCCCAGCAGCTTGGGAAGCTGAAGCAGGAGGACCTTGAGTTCAAAGACAGCTTCAGCAACTTAGCAAGGCACTTAGCAACTCAGCAAGACCCTGTCTCTAAGTAAAATATTTAAAAGGGCTGGGGATGTGGCTCAGTGGTTAAGCACCCCTGGGTTCAATTCTCAGTATCAAAAAAAAAAAAAAAGCACTCATAAAAATTCAATTTTAGGGCTGGGGTTATGGCTCAGTGGTAACGTGCTTGCCTAGCATTCAAGAGGCAGTGGGTTCGATTCTCAGCACCACATACAAATAAATAAAATAAATGTCCATCAACAACTAAAAAAAATAAATTAAAAAAATAAATTTTTAAACATGCTTTTAACATTGACCCCCCCTTTATTTGTACCCTAGGACACCGAAGGCACCACAGGAAGTCAAACAAGCATTCCAGAGCCTGCCGGCAATTTCTCCAACGATGTCAATTAGAAAGCTTTGCTCTGCCCTTGTAAGAGCTCTGAGATGAGAGCCTTCTCTCCACAAATTCTCAGCCAAAAAGGCAGTGGACCCAAAGCATGTTCTTATTCTTCCCCACTCCCTGTCCCCCCACCTCCACCATCATTCCAGTCCTATCAGATGGCACTTTTTCCAACATCATGGATTATTGCTCCCTCTAGTGCAGCCTCCTCTTGCCACTCTTTTTCTGTGCCCTCCCTTACCTGGGCTTCAGCTTAACTATGTGAAAGGATCTAGGAAACCCCACTCTCCTTGCTGGTCTCACTTATCATTAAATACCACCTGGAAAGTAGCAAACAGAAATCAATAAATGTTTTTAAATGTACTAGGTCAAAATCATTTCTTCTAAATGGGGTCTGACAACTCACATTGAATCCAGATGACTCACTTTACCCTGTTCATGCCAAACCCAACCCAGATTCTCCACCTACTTCTCCCTGCTCATGACCCTCAATCTTTCTCCACTGCCCAACTTTTTATTCTTTCACTCAATCAACAAACCTTTCTGAAGTAAAAGTAGGTGGAGCAAAGCAGGTATAGCCATGAATCAGACATTGTCTTATTAAGGAACAATGTAGGTTAAAAAAAGTCACAGTTTCCTAGCATATAGGCGGCCTTCAGTATTTATGATTGCTATCATCATCATCAATAGCCATTGTATTCTGTGGGTTTCTAGAAAGATGGTGTGGAGGATCTCCAATGCTATTCAAAAGAGCTTCAAGTTGTAAAAATGGGAGGACCTCATGGGGTTTTCTTAGTAAGGATGTGAAATCACTATAAAAAGATTAAACTGGTAACCACTTTTAAGAATGAATAAAGAGGCAAAATGTATTACAAGTATAGAGACTGCCTCCCCCTTTAGCTCTTTCCTCAAACATCAGAAGGGGGGGTATCAAGGAACACTCATCCAGAATCTGGTTTCTATCACCCCAGATGAAACAGAAGACTAAATTGGGATGCTACGCTTGCCTTATGAGAAAGTACATTTCAACTGGGTATTGAGTGGGGTGGGGCTCTATTTATGACACAAGAGGGCAAGCCCCTCCCTCTGGTAAGAGAGTGCTGGGCACACAGCTTCTTCCTGTTCCTAATCCCTCCCACCCAAAGTAGAAGGCACAAAGTGTATCACTTGGCCCAGGAGTGGGGAGCCAGCAGGGATCCACCCCCTAGCCAGATGCCTTAAAACGAAAGACCAGGGATGCCAGGATGAAGGGCAATGGCATCATGACAGATCCGTGAAGAGGCAGGCCTGGGGTTGGGGGAGCCAGGAGGATGAAACCTGGAAGATCAGCATCTCCCATGAGGGAAATAACAACAGTGGAACCAGGTTCTAAGTCAGTATCCATGTCAGACTGGGAACCTGAGCCACACCAGAAACCTATAACCCAGCCAGAGCCCTCAGCCAACTCAGGATTGAAACCTCAGCACGAATCCAATACCCAACAGGAGTTTGCATCACAGCAAAGACGCCTCACCCAGCAGGAGCCCCTTGCCCCAAATGAAGCTGAATTCCAGCAAGAAACTAGAGCCCAACAAAAATCTGCTTTGCACCTGAAATTTCTTACACTACAGAAATCACCCTCCACCCCACTACAGAAATCACCCTCCACCCAAAAGGTGTACGCCAAACAACAGGAAGCTGCCTCTCAGCAAGGACATGGGCCAGGACAAGCGTGTACAACTCAACAGGAACCAGAATTGAGAGACAGAGATGTAGCCCAGTCAGGATCTAGACCATCTCTAGCTCAACAAGATGCAGAATTAACACCTACCACCCAGGCTATCCCTGGACTCAAAAAGAGACCATCTGTCCAGGCTGAATTTACATCCCAAGAGAGAACTGAACAGTCAGACCACACAGCCCAGCAAGTACCTCCAACCCAGCAAACCAAATCCAGGAAGGGATTTTTGACTGAGTGGAAATTTCTAACAAGACTGTACGAAGTCACTACACAGCAAGTAACTCAAGAACAGAAGACATTTTTTGAACGCCTCACAGATTATGACTTAGAATCAAATGGGAGGCCATCTTCAGAGACAGATCCGCCAAGTATGAGGGATGGAACAAGCACCCCAGAAATGAAGCCAGCCTTCAAAAAGATACCTGATTATGATTATGAAGCCATGTCAGGATACCATGGGACACCATTACATGGAAAGAAAACCAGTGCCCAGAATCACAGGCACTACCAGGACACAGGTGAGTCAAACTTAGATCTGGAGTCTCTCAAGGTCAGTCATCCATTTATTTAAGAAATACTAAGAATTTACCATATGTCAGATTAGCTCAGCTCATCCTTCAACAATTCTAAGAGATAAAGCTCAATTATCCCCATTTTATGAAGATCAACATTCTCATCTTAATCATAAGGAAAGATCTTGTACAAGATGGTACAGTTAGGAAGCCCCAAGCCCAAGATTCGAGCCAGGGCCTGACTTTCTCACCTGCTGCCTCCCTAGGGAGGATTTGGGAGTAAATCAAATAGAGGTAGGAAAGAGCCATCTCCCTCCCAGTATTCATCTATCCATCCACAAAAACTGACCAGAGAGCCAGCTCTGGGGCAGAAACTGCTATAAGCACCAGTAATACAAGGGTGTCTGTAGACCTTACCCTCCTGAATTTCCATGCAGTCTAGGCCCAACAACCAGGCATTCATGACCTCAGTGTGCCTGACCTCTGCTACCAGGGAGGCACTTGCTCTCCTTCCAGCTACCTCCATAGGGTTCAGCCAGGCTGAATGGCCCTGAGGCTGAGTTCTCAAGAAGGAGGAACCTGGGAGAGAAAAACCATGGCCACCAGTTTCCCTGGCAAGGTCAAGGAATAATGGAAAGAAAGCTGGGGAACGGTATCAGCAAGTATTGGGCGCAAAACTTTCTGGAGCTCCTCGGAAGCAGACAATAGTGACTCCCGGATGCAGGCTCCAGCTCTAGAGCTCCGGCCCTCATCTTCCTCCCCTTTAGGCTCAAAACCCAGCGGTGGAGAAGGGGGGATGCAAATTTTATCCAGGGAATTGGGGGTTACTTGTTGAGGTATCATCAGTTGGGGGTGGAATGCAGCCCTAATCCTTAAGCTGAGGGCATGTTGGCCATGGTCTGGAGCAGAGGGGCTGGGCCGAGCCTCTCAGAGCTGAGAATTAGGTATACTTTGGAAGGAAGAAAGGCAGCATGCAAATAAGTGGTCTGAGGCCTGCTTTTTCCAGGGCGAAGGATAAAAGTCTCTCTAGGCCTCCAGATCCCTGTGCCACGCCACGCTTGCTGACTCGGCTGCTTCTCTATAGGCGCCCGTGGCCGTTGGCCACGTGCACTTGAGCAAGCCTCGTGCCTCCAGTTTCCCACCTTTTCCTAGGGAGGCGCGCTCCTCCTACTTCCCTTCCTCTCAGGGATTCAACCCCTTGCCTTAAGTGGTGTGCGTGCTCCAAGTACTCGACCTTCCTCCTCCCCTCCATTCTTCCGGGGGAGGAGGAGGGCAAGGGGAAAAAAAAAAAAAAAGAGCGAGAAAGAGAGAAATACTAGGACTAGGAGACAGAGGAGGGAAGGAGGGGCTTCTTCCTCAACAGCTCTCAGGCACAACCACGCCTCCAGTGCGGGCCCTGCCTGGGTTTTGAGTTGCCGAAGGACCTGGCCCACCCCCCACCCCACCCCCAGGAGGAGGCGCAGCCGTGCCGGGTCTCCCCCATCCTCCAGCGGACAGGCTGGGCCGCATTCTAAGGATCCCTCTTTAGGAAGGTGAGTGGGATAGCGAGACTGAGCATCAGCACGTGTGAAAATCGGGGTTTCCCTGTTAGGGGTGAGCCCTCCGGGCTCTTCGCTAGTCCGGAGCGAAGGACACTATGACGCCTCCAGGGCTGCATTTTTGTTGGCTGCGGGCCCTTTAAGGCGTACGAGGAGGCGGGGCCGGTCCATCTTCGCTAGCGGTTAGGGGCGTGTCCTGGCAGTGGAGAGCGACCACGATTGCTCAGAGGGCGGGACCCAAAGAGCAGCAAGCCCGGGATTGGTTGGTATGGGGGCCCGGCGGTGGTGTGTAGCGAGGATTGACCCTCCGGGCGGGTCCTGGCAGCTAGTATTGGGTCCGGCTTGGGAATCACAGAGAATTGATGGAGTCATCCGAGGAGACCTCGAAGAATGGCAAAGAGGGGTTGAAGAGCCACAATCGCCGGCGGTGGCGAAAAGACAAGGGCAAAGGTGAGCTCGCGGGCACCGACCGTAGCCCGGAAAGAACCTCACACACCCTACGGGGCTCTCGGGACCGAGTAGACAGAACCACCGCCACGAGAGTTGGGGGAACCACGGACTGGCCCATTGCCGCCTTGCGTCGGGGCGGACGACCCACTATGAGAAGGGGAGAGGTGAGAGTGGAATGTCCCACTCAGGCGTAGAGACTACCGGGCGCCCTACTGCCGTCTTGGGCGCAGAGTCCGGAATGCGAGTCTCTTGGACCTCGGTTCCCGTGTGACCTAGGGCAACCGCTGTCCTTAGTGTTTCTGCCTGGAAAATGGTTCAAGCGCTGGTTTTCAGGTCACCAGCACTCTTGAGAAGATAAAGGGTAAGGGGTCTAGCAGCTGTTACCCAAAGAGAAAGTTTAGGGGTGAGTCAGGGAAAGGGTGTCAGAATTGGAAATGAAGGGGGGCCAGTTGAGCTCATCAAAGCCCCAGTCTCCCACCCTCAGTCCATCCATTCGTCCATTCATTGTCGGTCCACCCGCGTCATCCCAGCTACACTGGGGCCTGACCTCCCAACGCCCACCATTTCTAGGACTAGGGTCTCTAGTTTGGGTTTGGACCTTCATACCCTCCCTAAGGAGAAGGAGGGAGGGCTGTAGCAGTGGGTTCTCTAGATCTCAAGAGGCTGGAGAAAACTAACAGACCAATGGAGATGCTAAAAGCCTCAGGCAAGGGCATTAAGCCCTGGCTCAGCTGAGTCTTTTAACAATCTCTATGAGGATCTGTGGGAAGTTCCTAAGCAGGAAAGAAACTGACATGGTTCTCCAGCTCCAGGG